CTAGCAGATGACAAAAGAGGAAGCAGCTAATGTTCATTAAAATTTTTCAGATTTTTTCTGAGTTTTGAATGGACTTGAATATTTGACAGTCTGGAATATTTGATAGCACTTGGCAGACACAAACTTGAAGTTTTTGATATGCACATTTTACTAGTAAATTTATGTGACAGAGTTAAATATATGAGTTTCATGGGTGATTCTCAAGTACTTTGCAAATAACTAGCAAAAATTGAGAATTCCTGGTACAGTGAAAAGAAGAGAGAATTGGAAGCCTAGTTTGCAAAATAGGATTGAGGTTGTACATGGAGAATAGGTAGGATTCAGATAGAAAAGAAAAAGAATAACAATAAATGGATGTATGAAGGCTAGAAGATGCTTGAATTGTCCCAGAGGCAGCTGGGAAGTCTGTGATGTGCAGTGGAGGTGATGGGTGTAACATGCTTAAAAATGTATTTAATAAGTTAAAAGTATGTGAGGCTGGTAGAACTTTAATAACATGTCAGAGGACTGCTTTTATTAAATATCTTAATAATGTTTGACAATCATTTTGTCTAAGCTAATGTGCTTGATTTGGTACCACATTACATTTTATATGTAATTATATTCTGAAATTGATGGAAACATTGCTTTTTTTAAACCTAGGAATATCCCCTGGGCTTTTGAGAAAATAAAGAAAGCAAGTGAATGGGTAAGAAGAACAGAAGGACAATATCCATCTATCTGCCAACGGCTTGAATTGGGTAAAGACTGGGACTGTGCCACTAAACAACTATTGGGAATCCAACCCATGAATACCACCTCTCCTCTTCACAGAGTTCTTAATTATGGTCAAGGCTAAAACAGAGGAAGCTGTGCTTTAAACTTTTTCATGCTTCTATCTATAAAATAAGTATTAATAGATACCTATAATGAAATTTAATTATGGTTTTATCAAATATAGCAATGTCACTTTAAAATAAATAGAAGCAGAATTACTTAATGAACAAGCAATCATCAAGTAAAAATTACAGTATTACAGATTTCTTGTATTTTAATGTTTTAAGGTGGTAAGACACATTTGGATAGTCCTTGAAGTTTGTTGCTTCTCCCCTTTGAGGAGCCTGGACTGAGCAAGCTGGGAAAAAACAAGGATCTTTGGCCGATGTCCGCATTCCCATTTCCAGGGTCCTGGATATCCAGACCTTGATCCCCAGTACGCATACTCCTTGGTGTGGGTCTTAAGTCTGTGGATCCTTGATACTCCTATTACTTAAGACAAACTGTGTCCCCTGAGCAATGCTTTCATGGCTCTTGCTTTTGGAGTCTCAAATCTTATCAGCAAACCAAGGCCATCTAAATTTTCACCTATGTTCTGGAAGTTTTATGATTGAGAATTTTATATTTAGGTCTATGATCCATTTTCATTTATTTTTTGTGAAAAGTGTAAAGTCTCACAGGCTGCAAACCAAAGTGTCACAGGTTCGATTCCCAGTCAGGGTACATGCCTGGGTTGCAGGCCATGACCCCCAGCAACTGCACATTGATGTTTCTCTCTCTCGAAATAAAATCTTTAAAAAAAAAAAAAAAAGAAAGAAAAGTGTAAAGTCCACTTTCCTCCACACTATCCCTCCTAGGCCATTGACTCTCTGCCTTTACATAAAACCCGTTTCTTAGGGATACCGTCTTTTGGCTATCCTCTTACCTACCATTGCTGCGATTCACCAACTGTCCAGCACTGCCTCTCATTCACATGGTTCAGGATTTCCCTTCCTACTGTTAGTCCTGCCTTCATCTTCAGTGACTTCCAACATCCTGACATGTGACCCATTCTAATTCCCTGGACTTGAACTGTAGCTTGTGATCTGTTGGTACCCAAGATAAGAGGCTTGTGAAGAATTGCTATGAGGACTTCTCCCACTTGCCTTTGTGTCTTCCTGGAAGGCTATCATGAGATGCTTTCTTGTTACCTCCTAGTTCTGATGAGGTATGAAGCTTAGAATACAACTGCAGACTAAAAAAAAAACACACACACACACACACAAAACCTAGCTGCATTTAGAATCAGTTCCTCAACAATGTGTCCCACAACTCTTACTGCAATTATCTAGCTCCTTGGGAATATGGGACAAGGGGAGATAGGTGTCTTTTACTATTCTTCCTCTTGTTTATATATAGTAATAAATCATCTAAATCTACAGTAGCTTGTTTTATCTTTATTGGCAGAATCAGTCGGGACTTGGCCTTGCCTGATTGCCATAAGCACAGAAGATAAAGTGTTTATTATTAGATTAAGGGATTTAAAAGATTAGTAAGATCCAGTAACAATATGTGAGTACACAAATACTTCCTTACATTGTTACTGGAAACATTCTACTAAAGCAAAATTTTGCAAATCACGTATTTATCAAAATTTAAATCACTACCCTCCTTTGACATATAAATTTCACTGAAAGGAATTCCACTTCCAGAAATTCATCTTACAGAAATATGGACACACACAGAAAGATGTACACTAAAACTCATTTTAAAATTATATAAATGGGTATTTGTATTACATAAAAATATGTCATGTCATATTCCAAAGTGGTTACCTTTGAGTAGACATTCTATTTCTATTTTATATATTTTGGGTTAGTTCAAAAATTTTTACAATTAAACTTTTTATTTCAAGATTTAAAATATTTTGCCAAGTTTTTATAAATTTAGAACATTCTTCTCTTTCCTCTTCTGCTGTTGACTCGCTGAAGAAACAGGGTCAGTTGTATGTCCCATTTGTTTCCTTTTCTCTTTCTTCATGTTACTTATCTGACAGGAAATTAGGTCTCAAGTCCTAAGTGGATTAAGGATCAACATTTTTGTCCACAGAAGCCATAGAGTCTGGTGGTCGTTCTACTATTAATAATGCTCACATTGATAAATGGGTTTCCAGTGATGGTGTCTTTTCCCTAAATCTGTGGAGAAATATTTTGGCATCCAGTTCCTAACCCAGCATTCACCTAACAGTTTTGTCACCTGAATGATTTTCATGAAATATTATGATTCTCTCTTCTGAACTTATTAGCTGGTATCCTTCCAAAATAATGAGCTTTTCCCCATCAACTAATGGTATTTGGTTATAATATTTTTTAAAAACTTATCCTAAAAATATATCTAATTATTACAATTGTTGTGTGTCTTCCTTTTATAGACTGGATCCCTGGAAGGCAGACTCTTCATTATATTCCTAATGCCTAGTACTGTCCATTTTGTAAGCTCACTAAATGACAAAATAATGCACCAACTCAAAGCTGGTTGTTTTTAGCTGCACTAACTCAAAGATGTGTTGTTTACAGAGTATCTTTAGTCAACCTCATAGTTAAATTTTAAAAGTTAATCTTGTAGGTTAAGCACACCGTTGGAAGAAACAAAAATAAAATGCTTGCTGTCATAAAGACTTCATTTGCAGTTCAAAGTGAGAAAAACATTTACACTTAAGTGGACTTCCCTAGCAACTTTAGGTGACTGCATTGTCAATCATTCACAACCTGGAGTAGATAATTTTAACACAACCTCTGATGTTTTCTTTTTCAATTACAGTTTACATTCAATACTATTTTGCATTAGTTTCAGATGTAAAGTTTAGTGTGATCAGACAATCACATACTTTACAAAGTAGTCCCCTAATACTTCTAGTACCCACCTGCTGACAGACCTAGGTAGGCCTGGCAGGAATGGAAAATGACCAGGTGGGAAAACTGTACTGTGGGAAACTGTAGCCTGGGAAAATGCCTGCCGAACCTACCCAGGACAGATGCCTGGCTACGATTGGGGTCTGGGGTCGGCCTATCCCGCATAACAGGATGCAGCTTTAACTTGAGCCTGACAAGATGTATCAAGAAGAATAGTCAGCAGAAATGGCACCCAGCAACCACCTCTAGCCAGTCAGACTCTGACACCCCCATCAGTCACCCCTCGCGGGTTTTTGCGGTTAAAAACCCTGCCCTAACAACAACCTAGAGCCCTGGCTGGTTAGCTCAGTGGATTGAGTGCGGGCTGCGAACCAAAGCATCGCAGGTCCGATTCCCAGTCAGGGCACATGCCTGGGTTGCAGGCCACAGCCCCCAGCAACCGCACACTGATGTTTCTCTCTCTCTCTTTCTCCCTCCCTTCCCTCTCTAAAAATAAATAAATAAAATCTTTTTTAAAATAATAAAATTTTTAAAAAATAACAACCTAGCGAGTCCTAACCTCCCTAGGTTGGCTCCCCTTTTCCTCTTATTCCCCACTAATAAACCCTGCTCCTTAGCTCGCTGCGTCTGTCCGGTTTCTTGAGTGACTCCGACCTAACACCTGCCATGTACCTAATTTCGATATTACTGACTACATTGCCTATGCTTTACTTTACATCCCCTATTTTGTAACTGCCAACTTGTACTTAATCCCTTCACCTTTTCCACTCCACCCACCACACCCCGGTCAGGTATTTTCAACAGAAAAAAACCACCCAGATTTTATCTGGAAAACTAGATTTTCACCCTAATAATAAAAAAGTGTCCTTATCTTTAAACAATACTCACTAAAGTATACAGCTCTCTGAGTTGCTGACACGCGGCAGCCGCGCCCCAATCTTACAGGTGAATTGCTGGGTGCTCGGCTCCAGCCGGAGTCTCCAGAGCTGCCCGCGCATTTCCTAGAAAGCTACGGATCCAACCGCCACTATAGAGGGTGAGGGTCAGAGTACAGCCAGTCCCCTCCAGCGCTGGCGCTACTCCTGGAAGCCCGACCCCTCCCCCTGGGCCCAGGTAAACCGGTGGTACGACATACACTTGCCCTTCCGCAGCGCCGAACCCCTCACTGTTCTCCCCGGCCCCTCCCTACCGGGCCCGCCAGCACCCACCCTGCTCCTCTTCCGCTCAGCGCCCATCGGCCCTCCCACCCACTTCCTGTGGGCTCTGCCGGGCCCGCCTCGACGCGATTGGTTGGTGAGCGTATCGCTCTGGACTCCGAGCCCGCCCTTGCTAATTCCCCTCCAGTAGCGTCACAAGAAGCTTGCGGGCGAGGGTCGAGCGCTGGGAGCGCTGGGCGTGCCTGGCGTACGTCGCGACTGCTCCGGCGGCGGCGGTTTGCTGCTGTCTTGCTATGGCGGCAATGGTTGCAGAGGGGGGCAGCGTTGCTGCGGTTCCCGTATCGAGCTCCCACAGCGAGCCGCTTGTAGGCGAAGGCACGGGAGCCGTGGGCGATGAGAGGGACACGGGCACAAAAGGAGCGGAGGCCTTGGGGGACAGCGAGGAGGACGGGGAGGATGTGTTCGAGGTGGAGAGAATCCTGGACATGAAGACCGAAGGGGTGCGTGAGCCAGCCGGGCCCCGGGGCCACGGAGGGGAGGTCTCGGGAAGTTGTGAGGGTTGCGTTGCCGGAACCGTCTGGGGGGCTGGGTGTGAGGGTTGGTGACGGGTTTACAGGGTACTCGGTGTTGACACACCTGGTTGGGGCCACGCTGCCTGAAAAGGGTGACGTTGAAATTAGCCTGCAGCTCAGAGTCCACGCCCACGCCGTCGTTTCCGTTTTTGCCGAAGCCATAGTCAATTTTCTGGTGTGAAATCATAGGGATTATGAACTGTAATTTAAAAATAAAAAAATATAACTGTCCATTAGCCCAGTATCTCAACCGTAAAGGATGCATTCAAAGGTCTTTAGAACCTGACCACTGCCACTCTGTCCCCCTGGCATCATTTGATAGCTGCCAACAGCCATAACTAGCACCCCTCCCACCGCCTGGCGCTCACGGTTCCCCTTCCTGAGTCCACCTTTTTCAGCCTGTTTTGACCCTGACCCCCACAGCAGTGAGTTGCGTCTTCCTGTGGCCTCTATTTCGGCCCGTAAAACATCAGCTTCCTTAAATGTTGGCCTGCTAGAGTGTGGCAACTTGAATACAGGGAATATGATTTTGTTGATCTTGGTACTTAATCCAGTGCCCAGCGTGCAGTTAGTTCTTCGTGTATATCCCGTTCGTTATTAAATGAGGGAATGAATTGTGAGCTGGAAGCTGGAATGAAGGGGAGGGATGACCAAAGGCCCCACATGGTAGTCATGCCTTTATTTTGGATTCTCTTCATTGTCTGTTAATTTCTCATTCGTCATGTGCTACCTTGTGTTAATTTTTTTGTTCAGTCATTAAGTAAACTTTTTAATGAGCTACTGTACGCAAGGGGCTGTGTTGGGTCCTGAGGATATAGAGATGAATCGTAGTGTATGCACTTGCTGACGTTGAAAAGTACTGTCCAGTAAATAAATAATTCAAGTCCAATGCCATTAATACTATTGTTAGTTGCAGTACAGTAAAGATAGGAACATTTTTAGGTATAATTTTCCCAAATATATTGTATGTGCCTTGAGGTGAGAGTTGGAGCTGACCTTCTAGTGTTTTGTATAACCTGCATTTAACACTATGCTTCACACATAGAAAATATTTGGCTGGGAGGGTAGTATCTTTAGAATTAAGAGTGTTTGCCTATTCATACAATATTAATTTTGCTAGTTCCAAAGAATTGTAAGGCAATGTATGTAAAGCCTCAAAAGTGGATGAAACTAAGAAATGATTAGGAAAATAAAGGACAGTTAGACTTTAGTAATGTGAGTAAAAATTCTAGTTCTCTTCAATGCTGGTTTGTGTGGCTCTGTTGGAGTGTTGTCCAGTAAATCAAATGGTCACAGTTTCCATACCTGGTTTGGCATGTGCCTAGGTTGCAGTTCCATTTCCAGTCGGTTGTGTGGAACAACTGATGGATGTTTCTCTCCCATATCCATGCTTATTTCTCTCTCCCTTCCCCATTCTAAAATCAATAGGCATGTCCTCTGATGAGAATTTTAAAAAGTCTGGTTTCCAGGGCCTTGGATTTGTAGGCGAATGAGTGATTTATAAGATAAAAGCTCAGCAGAACAGGATTATTGCACTTACTGTATAAACGCTGAGTAAGCCAATCAGTTGATAAACATGGGGCTTTGTTGGTGGTTTGTTAGGCCTCTCTGTAGTCCAAGGGTTTCAGTTACCCAGTCTGGGATTTCTGTCCATAAGCCACTGGTCTGCAATGTTCTGTAACAGACTAAGACAGTCACTGTAGTGAATGTCGACTAGGGGGAATACTATTAACACTGAGTTTATGTATTAGCTGTGTCCTTTCTTTTTTAGTTTATTGCTAATGCAATTTTTTGTTGCCATAAAAGTGAAATGAATCCAACAGAATCTCAGGGTTTTGGCTTCAATTCTGAGCAGGAGTCATCTTTATATAATAAAATGGCACTTTTTCTAATATTTGTGACTATTTGATTATTTAGTATATAAATAAATATATTTTATTATACAGCTTAGTGAATTATCACAAAATCAACACCTTTGTAACCCCCTCCCAAACTAGAAATTATTAAACTATCAGCCTCAGGCATCCCTTTTGGTTCCCCTTCTGATCAATAACCCCTTCCATCTCTCAGAGGAACTAGCCTGAATTATTGTATGGTAGTTTTTCCACCTAACCATGCATTCCTCAACACTTTAGTTTTACCTGATTTTTTTCCTTCATTTAATTTTTTTATTGATTTAAGAGAAAAAGAAATATTAATTTGTTGTTCCACCCATTCACACATTCTTTGGTTGATTCTTGTATGTCCAGAGAAATTGAACTAGAAACCATGGTGTATCCAGACAATGCTCTAACCAACTGAGCTAACCAGCCAGGACAGATTTTTCTCTTTATTTAGATGGAATCTCCCAATACTTGTCTGCTTTTTGCGGGGTGGGGGGGGGGCGGTGGCAGGCTCAACAATACCTCTGTGAGATTTAATCCATATTGTGTGGAGCTGTGGTTTCTTTCATTTTCATTGATGAGTAGTATTCTGTTGTATGAATATACTAATATACAATCTGTACTTTATACTGTTGATGGGCATTTGGGTTGCTTCCAGTTTGGGGCTGTTATAAATAACCCTGGAATGAACTTTATTGAACATGTCACCTGGGGTGTTGTGCATGTACATTTCTCTCTATTATATACACTAAGGAGTGGAATTGTTCTGACATAAAGCATGCACATATCTACAGAATTTTTTAAAAAGATTATATTTATTTATTTCTTTATTTACTTATTTTTAGAGAGAGAGGAAGAGCGGGAGAGAGACATCAGTTGATTGCCTCTTGTACACCCCCAACCAGGGACCTGGCCTGCAACCCAGGCATGTGCCCTGACAGGGAATCAAACCCTCAACCTTTCACTTTGTGGGACAGCACCAAACCCACTGAGTCACACTGGTCAGGGCTATATCTACAGTTTTGTTTTGTTTTTAATAATTTTTTAAAGATTTTATTTAATTTTTAGAGAGGGAAGGGAGGGAGAAAGAGAGAGAGAGAAACATCAATGTGTGGTTGCTGGGGGTCATGGCCTGCAATCCAGGCATGTACCCTCACTGGGAATCGATATATCTACAGTTTTAAGTGGAAACTTTGAAAGTGATTGTACCAGTTTATGCTAGAGATGGTTTGTGAGAATTCCTTTTGTTTTGTGCCCTTCCAATATTTAATATTGTCAGCATTTTTATTATTGGCCAGTATTTCTGGGTATTTGGTGGGATTTTCTACTTTTAACTTTATTTTTCCACATCCTACATTAGTAGTCAATGTTGCAATTATTCTCTTTTCATGTAATTACAGAGTGGGGCAAAAGTAGGTTCACAGTTGTGAGTGCATGAAACACTTCATTGTTATTTATTAATTGTATGGTTATCCTTATGAACAACTATAAACCTACTTTTGCTCCACCCTGTTTATTGGTAATTTGATAATTTTTTTATGAAATGCCTTTTCCTACTAAATTGTTCTTACTGATTTGTTGGAGTCCTGTACATGGTTTAGATTCAAACCCTTTTTTGGGGTGTGTTGCAAATTCATCTTGATGTCGAGTACTTTTTATATACAGTTTGAGAAACCTCTCTGCCCTAGTTATTTTTCACTTTCTTTTTCTCTAAAAGCTATATTGATTTTGCCTGTCAGCTATATTGATTTGCCTGTCAGATTTTATATTTACACTTCACCTGGAGTTGATTTTGTGTTTAGTGTAATATAGGGGTCAGATTTCATGAGTAAACCTCGTTATTCTTTAATAATGCCTTGTATATTTTAGAATCAACTTGTCAGTTTTCTTGCACACATAAAACTTTGGATTGTATTGAATCTTAATAAATTTAGATTGACTTCCGGCAAGATGGAGGCATAGGTGGACGTACCTATGGTCATACCAAGGATGTACCTTGGTTGTACCTCCACGCACAACCAAGATTAGAACAACAACAATTTAGAAGCAGAATAACACCCAGAACTGATAGAGAATTTATCTGAATGGAAGTTGGACAGCCAAGAAGTTGAAGTAGACCCGTTCATCCAGACTGGTAGGAGGGGCGGAGACGAGCAGCCAGGCGCAAGTCGAGGCACACAGAGAACGGAGAACTGCGTACATAAGGCAACCGGCAGCGTGTAAGGTATCTCGGGTGCACAAGATCTCAGCGGTTGGACCCTGAGTGTGCAAGCAGCAGCTAGCGGACCCAGTGAGGCGGCGATTGTGGACCAGGGCAGAGCGCGCAACCCCGGATCCCAGAGAAGGGACTGAGGCCCCAGGAGAACGGAGCTACTGCCATTGTTCCCTCCCGCCCCCACCCCCACCCCCCACATACAACATCACAATCTAGTGACTGGGGTGCCCAGCCCTGGTGAACACCTAAGGCTCCGCCCCTCACTGTAACAGGAGCGACCAGACCAAAAAAAAAAAAAAGAGAAAGAGAGAGAGAGACATGTCTCAAACATAAGAACAGATCAGTGCCCCAGGACTCATCCTTTTGAGTGACCAAGAGATAGCCAATCTATCAGATGCACAGTTCAAAACACTGGTGATCAGGAAGCTCACAGAATTGGTTGATTTTGGGCGCAAATTAGTTGAAAAAAATGCAGGTTACTATAAAAGAGATGAAGGAAGATGCACGGAGAACCAACAGTGATGAGAAGGAAACTGGGACTCAAACAATAGAGTGGACCAGAAGGAAGAAAAAAACAACCAAACAGGAAAGAATGGAGAAATAAGAATTCAAAAAAACAAGGAGAAGCTTAGGAACCTCCAGGACCTCTTTAAACGTTCCAACATCCGAATTATAGGGGTACCAGAAGGGGAAGAGGAAAAGCAACAGATTGAACATGTATTTGAACAAATAATAAAGGAGAACTTCCCCATTCTGGCAAAGGAAATAGACTTCTAGGAAATCCAGGAAGCTCAGAGAGCCCCAAAGAAGTTGGACCCAAGAAGAAACAC